ATATATATATATATATATATATATATATATATATATATATATATATATATATATATATATATATATATATATATATATATATATATATATGAATGTCAACATTTCTGAAAATGAGCATCATCTGCTACATTAGATTTCTAATCTTAACTTCTAAAATTGAGTAGTTGGTCGCCATCTGCTGGCCTATGAGAAGACCCAATAGTAAGATCATTTTTTTCATTCGACAGGTCAACATGAGAGGAAAGAAGGAATTATTCATGCTGATCACAGGCCTCGTGTTGTTTATATTTGACCTGGTCACAGACATCGTTGTAGCTGCACAGTATAGGGTTAAAGGCGACTATTGGTGGTTTGGTTTGACGTTATTTTTTATTATCGTTCCTCTTTTCATCGTCAGTTTAATGGCTTGGGTTAATTCAGATGATTGGTTTTGTGTAAACTGTTGTTTATTGTTTGTGTGTTCGTCCATGTTTGTACGTTATGTCGAAGAGCTAAAATATTGGAAGCAAGCATATTGGGATAATCCCCCTTGTGGAGACAACTATAAGAAATGCAACTGTCCAGATTGCAAACACTACCGCGCGGCGATCACGAAGTCTAACAAGTCAGCATACAACCTCGCGTTGGTACGTTATGTAGAGACACTTACAGAGTCTACTCCACAATGCTGTCTACAGATTTACATCATGTTACGTCAGTGGGATTTTCCATGGTTAACCGTGCTATCAACCGTGATTTCCCTGCTTTCTTTAGCATGGAGTATTACCGCTGTTGAGAAAGCGAGAGCAAATAAAAATAACCATAATTTCACACTCCCAGCCACGGTTGTACTTTTCGTTTCTCAATTGTTTAGTTTGTCATCCAGACTTTTTGCTATTGCAGCATTCGCATACGTCTTTAAGGCACATGTGTTCACAGCACTGGCGGTTCATTGGCTGATTGTGCATTTTGCCATATGGTTGATAGGCGAAGACTGTGATGTATGCAAGTGTGATGCAGTAGGAAACTTTTTTGTATACATTACTTTAAGCTTTCCGTTCTTGGTAAACGTGTCAGATGTAGTACTCAGAGAAAATTCCAGTCTAAGCACTATGCATTTTTTGTTATCCGTAGAGAACGTTTTGCTCGCAATCTTGGCGGTGACAATACCGGCAACACCTGATGTGAAACATATGAGTGTACTGAGACCAATTGTGCTGTCGTCGGTTATAATAAGCGTGGTCCTAGGTACAATTTTTCACATAGTATATAACAAGCTCCTAAAACCGACAGAACCACACAAATCAGACGAAGAAGAACCACACAAATCAGACGAAGAACAACCCCACAAATCAGACGAAGAAGAACCACACAAATCAAACGAAGAAGAATCACACAAATCAGACGAAGAAGAACCACACGAATCAAACGAAGAAGAACCACACAAATCAGACGGAGAAGAACCACACGAATCAAACGAAGAAAAACCACACAAATCAGACGAAGAAGAACCACACAAATCAAACGAAGAAGAACCACACAAATCAGACGAAGAAGAACCACACGAATCAAACAAAGAAGAACCACACAAATCAGACGAAGAAGAACCACACAAATCAGACGAAGAAGAACCACACAAATCAGACGAAGAAGAACCACACGAATCAAACGAAGAAGAACCACACAAATCAGACGAAGAACAACCACACAAATCAGACGAAGAACAACCACACAAATCAAACAAAGAAGAACCACACAAATCAAACGAAGAAGAACCACACAAATCAAACGAAGAAGAACCACACAAATCAGACGAAGAACAACCACACAAATCAGACAAAGACGAAACCGTGTAATAAAACATACTACCAAGGAAATGATATCTCGAAAAACAACTTTGCATGCAGAAATTCATATGTTGATATGAGAAGTAACAATGCTGTATTCCAAAAACACAATACCGATAGTAACAATTAATATACATGAAAAATTACTTAATTCTGATTGAATAAGAGTCCTGCTACCCTGCGAGCAGAGCCTTATTTTCGTTTCTTCGGCGAGGGGAAAAGGAGAAAATAAGGCTCTGCAGTATTCGTGTTTTGCTTCGTCCAAGATTCTGGACGAAGCAAACCTGTTTAACCAGTTTATCCGGTATTTAATGCGCGCGGCTACAGTTTGACGGTGAACCGATGACTAAATGCGAGCCAGCGACATAGCCAACAAAACGAAATGGCCGAAATCGAACCATACTTATACGAGTTTGTTGCAAATGAATCAAGTTTTGGCATTTACAGACGAAAACTAAAGAGAGTTTTGTTTGAAATTTGATAACATCTTCAAAATACCTTACGTTTAATATCATTCTACAATTTCGCGCGAGCTTGAAGTCCTGAACGGATAAGCGGATCAAACGATGGTGAATTTTGATTCGCTAGTAATAAAGGCGGACGTCTGCGAAGACAGGTCTAAAATATTCATATAAGCTGTAACTAGGCAACCGACAGAGCATGCGCAATTGAAGCAAAACACGAATACTGCAGAGCCTTATTTTCTCCTTTCCCCCTCGCCGAAACTCGCCGAAGAAACGAAAATAAGGCTCTGCTCGCAGGGTAGAGTCCTGCAATTTTACTGAGAAACAGTGTCACGTGGGAATTGGTTTAAATTTTGACGGTTGAAAACTTGTATGAAATTGTTGTGTCATTCCAATGAATGAGTAAATCATTATATCTCATGTGGTTCATGCATGCACTTGATCACAATTTGTTTCTGCATAATTTATTCATGTATATTATGAATAATAATAGTGTGGTTTCTCGTGGAATTTGGAAAAATATACACTGGTAAGTTTTTCAGTTGTTTCCCTTTGGGACTTGTACAATTTCGGTCGTCTTGGTCAAGTTTTCTTTTCAAATTAACGATTTTTTACATTATCTAGAATTGTAGATCGCACTTAGTTAACCGGTAATTTACAAATATAGCTGTTCATATATATATATATATATAATATTCTTGATATAATATAGAGTGCTCAATACTTTATAATATATAGTCTTCTTGATATAATATAGAGTGCTCAATACTTTATTGTAGAGCTAAATATATAATTATTTAAATAAAGTACAAAACAAACGTTGTTACTCAGAGTTTCATGCCTGAGTTTACAGACAATCTTCGGACAACTAAAGTTCTGTTAA